CAAAACAAAAAAATCATTATAATAATTCCTGTAATTTTATTAAATGGAGTTTATTGTGTAAGTGTTTCTTTGGCTTTGCGTTTGGGTTGAATACGAGTGGGTTGTGATAACGTGGTGTGTTTCTGTGAAGAAGGAGTTTTGTGTTTTTTAATTGTATTTATGGTGTTTCTTTGTTCCTGAGGTCGTATTTGTGAGGTTGCTTGGGTTTTTGGTGGAGATATTGCAGTATTTTGTGAGCCTGTGTTAAGGTTTTTGCGTTTCGGTTGTATACGAGTGGGTTGTTTCTGAGAAGAAGGAGTATTGTGTTTTTTAACTGTGCTAGGGCGTGTAACTTTATCGTTTATTTTATTATTATTATTGTCGGTGTTTCTTGTGAGAACTCAGGTCTAGTCTATTATTATTATTATTATTATTATTATTATTATAATGAGTAGTAAGCGGAGCACGTCACAACGCTCGTGATTTAAACCGGATTTATAGTTCCGTGGCCGTAAGAACGTAAGAACGGAACCGTAAAATCCTACGTGAACGAAAATATTGTGTTTTTTAACTGTGCTAGGGCGTGTAACTTTATCGTTTATTTTATTATTATTATTGTCGGTGTTTCTTGTGAGAACTCAGGTCTAGTCTATTATTATTATTATTATTATTATTATTATTATAATGAGTAGTAAGCGGAGCACGTCACAACGCTCGTGATTTAAACCGGATTTATAGTTCCGTGGCCGTAAGAACGTAAGAACGGAACCGTAAAATCCTACGTGAACGAAAATATAGGTGTAAAGCCACTAAATATAGAAAGTACCGCAATCCATTGGGCGCGTGTGTTAGAGAGAGAACGCATGATTTTTGCCCAAAAATGGCGGAAGTTACCAGATTCTAGTAACTTTAATGTTAGGGATTGTTCCACCTGTTTGGAGATATCTGTATATATTTTTATAAAACATGACAGTACTATGAAGTTAGGTTATAAAAAATGACAGCTATTAAGATTTTATTTGTCAATTTTTTTAAGTTGGCAGCAAATTTGCCCAAAAATGGCGGATGATTGCGGTACTTTCTATATCTAGTGACTTTATATAGGTGGAACATTGCACGCCATCTCACGAGAGAGTGCAGACGGAGCGCAATAGAAGCGATCACGTGAAAATGTTTATTTTAACCTAAAAATTAGCCTTTGTATCTTCTCCGATTGACTGTTTTTGTTTGCGATTTATTTCATAAAGATAATTTGGACATTATTTGCGTCTGCAGAGAATATTTCTACGCATTCCCACGACACAATGTACAAAATTTAGAGGTTATGTTTGAGATACACCCTTCCTTGCCTTAAGGCTACACCCCTACGATTAAAAAATACTCTCCGCTACATACCTTTCGTTTATTGTACAGTTATTAATTTGCTCCAGTGATCGTTTGCATTGTCTGCTGTGCTAACTTTTGAAACGGATATTCAAACGCACCTACTATTGCCGAATTTACTCCACGTAGCGTACGGTAACATGTTTATATTACGACTCAACATTGATTATACACACATGTGTGTATAATCAATGCGACTCAACTCAAGGGTTGGAACCTGAACCGATTGCATTTATATCGTTTCACTTGGAACCGGAACCGTTATTTAAGAAGTTATGATAAGCGGAACCAATACCGTTATTATTATAGTCAAAGAAGCGGCATTTTTCGGTTCTCTCTCTCTTGTAGGTAGAGTAGACACGTTGCATTAACATTTTTCAATTTCGTATTGGAGCTACCCAACCACAGAGGTTCGAAGCAAACATGACAGATTTTAGCGCAAAAAAAACATGACCGCCTACAGATCATTGGCGTAAGGTTAAATCAACATCCGTAGGTATATACTGAGATGTCTATATCCCTTTAAATACCCTGTATATTTCAACGTCGGATGCAACCGGTCAAGTAGTTGGAGATTCTGGGGGCATGAGCCACCGCCTTCACGACCTGTCGATATTTTTTTCGTAATTTCCGGAGGATGTTTGGGATTTGGGGGCTTGGCGTCACTTGTTGATTATTAAAGCTTGTTGGTGGTGGGATTATTGCATTTTGAGTTGTATTCATGGAGTTTAGCTTTGTTTTTGGTGTTTGTGAGTATGATTCAACCACTTTGGTGTCGGGTAAAGTATTTTATGTAGTTTACTCTTATGTACTTATATGAATTGTGCCATTTGTTAAATCAGATTTCCATCTACCATTGCGCTAATATGTAATTTACAACATGCGAGCTGTTAACTAATATCCATGTGCTTGTGGAAGTTTACGGATATCTCAGGTTTAGACCATGTTTAACTCAGTTACACGGTGCACGGGTATGTACCTACAGGGGCGGACTGGTACGGGGGGGCGGGTGGCGATTGCCACCTGGCCTGTAGGTCATAATGGCCCGTTGGAAATTTATAAGTAGGGCTAGAATTTTGATGATTTTGTATCTTTTTTTCTGAAAGTCTGAGACATTGCTCTGTTAATATATAAACGTGTTTCAGGATAAATTGAATCAAATGACAGCAACTTGTTTGTGCATTTTTTTGCATTCTTTGCCATTTTTGAGCAATGGGTCATTTTTTGCTAATTTTTACGGTATTTTTAGCATTTTTTGTGTGTTTACTTTGAATTTTTAGCATTTTTGAGGAATAGCGCTAATTTTTTTGATATTTTGCGGTATTTCTCTTGGCCTTTGTTAAAGTTTTATTTTTCATACAGTCTTATATTTCTAAAACATAATGCGATATTTTTCTTTTCTCGGTAGTTCAGGGTATCTTTACCTGTTTAGAAATGAAGCCTAAAACCTCCAGTGTAAGCTAAATGCATAAACGTTTTCTTGGAACGTGCTTAAGTCATCCACAAACGAATGCCCACTAAAAGGGATTAAATTTCTTTGGGATGCGGTAAGTGAGTCAGTACCTTACATACCTAGATTCTACGACTGACCTGCAGAGGGTGGAAATGAACCACCACTGAAATTCCTGTCTTATCTCACCTAATCACTATCCTTCTAACATGATTTGCGGTCATTCAATTTCATCAATAAATTTATTTGTTATTTAAAATGTCATCTTTTTAAATTTTTATATCGTTTTTGCGAAATTTTTAAGTCATTTTTGATTTTGCATTTTCGCTGATTTGTAACGTCATTAAAATCCTAGCCCTATTTATAAGTATGTGCTGTATTTAGTTTATTGCACTATTAATAAATTATTAACACGTTTCTCTTATCAGCTGCAATTAAAAAAAACTATATTCTAATTGATTTTCGAGAAAGGAATATTTTAAAATGAAGCAAAAAAATTGGCCCGTAACCTATGCAATTCCACCTGACCCTTAAGTACCCAGTCCGCCCCTGCGGGCCTTGGTGAACCTAACACTAATATTTTCATTCGTTCCGAAACCCAACAACTTTAACCCACGCCTACAGGCACCCCACTGGGCCTGGGTAATCCTACCGCCCGGCGAGGTATATTTAATGTCTCTTAGTTTTGTCTGATGTATGTGTTGTAATACCTGGGGAATGGCTCGATTCCATTTTGGTTATTCATGGCGTGTATGTAGTATTTACCCCGGTTTCGAGAGGGCTCAAAAGGGCTGTACATTAGATGTTAGCTGTAGGCTTTGTTCATTATAGGACTACTCCTAATTAGGTTTTCCTGCAGTTTTCCTAATTCGTAAGGTATATGTCGGAGTAGTATAGAACCACTGAGACCCTCTGCAGGGGCGCCGTATTGGTATTGGTATTAGCTTCAATATAATCTTAATCGGCTATTGCTTTTGGTGTTCCTTACCCATAAAACGCCATCAGTGCCTGCTGAAAACCCAGTGATTACACAACGTAGGTGTCCTACATGACGATCACGATCTTAGTGCACTCGGAGTGGCCCCCAAGTGACAGATTCTCGCGGGAAACTTAAGCGAGAATATTCAAATCATATATATAAGAGAAGATTCAAATAGGCAGCCATATTAGTTTGGCATTCCCGCTGCTACAGAATATGGTCAAATATAACGGTGTGACTTGACGTTGGCGTTAGCCCGCCAAGATAGTAGGAGGCTAAAGCTGAATTTATAGTTCCGTACCCGCAACGCCGTATCGTAACGTTTGGAATTAAACCCTACTTGTTGCGCGTGAGCATTTATAATTCGCGTTAACGTTGCGTTAGAACGGTTACGGTACGTAGAAAATGCTCAAATCTTATTTCTTATGGTAAATCGTGCTAACGCGCTTGTCTTCGGCAGAACTCGGATAATTCAAACAGTTCAGTTTATCCTGACGTTCGTTTCGTTTATTTACAATAATTATTGACACTTTGTTGGTTATTATTATTTTGAAATGCACGTTATTTTTACTGACAGATGACATACAATGGCAGATCTCGTTTCGCACTAATGCGCAAGCTCATCTCTTACCACTACGGTAACTATAAATCGTATAATTTTCGTTAACGTAAGATTTTACGGTTCCGTTATTACGGCTACGGAACTATAAATCCGACTTAAGATCATTACAAAACTATGAAAAGCACAGAAAACCGGTACGCCACCATCAAAAACTGGACCACCAGTGCTCCCGCCGACGCCGCTCTCTAGCTTCCTGTACTAAATTGACGTTTGCGCAGAAGGGGATTTTAAAATTCCTTTAGTAGTAAGATGCGTTGCCTATCTGTAGGGGTTCAACATCACAATACGTATATTCAACGTCTTTTATTTTCCCTGAGATTCACAGACACAGTTGTTTTGAAAGCATAGCTCTAATCCAATCTCTAATCTTTGATTATACCGGGTGAATATTTTAAAACCGAACATAGGCAATTAACATGGGAAAAACTTTTTTCCCCATGACACCAATCAAAAGAAGATTTTTTTTTCTCATCTAATGATATACGAATTATAGTATATTTTCAGGTGCATTTCTCATTATTTTATCAAACATTTTGCAATAAATCCAATTATCGAAATCATGATATAATATTATAGGAAGCCGTGCAAATGTTCGGTTTTATATAATCACCCGGTATATATAACCAAAGGGACTATTTCTGTGGTTTTGAGTCACGTGTCCTGTGATCGACAGCCCTCTAGTTTTTGATAAAATTAAAGAACCCAATAAACCCATCTGGGGGGGAAGATGGTACACGGGAAAGGGGAGTGCACGGGGAAGAAAGTGCACGGCGAAGAAAGTGTATAACCAAATAATTACTGGTGACGTGGTAAATTTTATTACTTAAGAAAGTAAGTAATGTCTAGTGACTTTCAGATCTCTCGCTGTGTAGTCTAATAAACCAAAACATTTATTATCATCATTATTGTTGCTATTATAGGCATGGATGGAGATAATACACTACTCATTAAAGTCGAGCCAAAACAAGAAGAAGAAATCCATTCCTTTCTTCAGGAACACATTTCAGTACGCAACGAAGTTTTAGTAAAAATAAAGGATGAAATTACCATTAGTACATCATTTTCTAAATCTCTTTATAATGAAGAAGTACAACAACACTCTCACTTTCAACATGACCTTTTAACTCCGTGTAAAACAGTGCCAAAAGATTTTAAATGTGCAGATTGTCATTATGAGACAAATTATAAAAGTAACTTTAAACGACATCTTTTAAGACATACAGTTTCTAAGGATGAATGTGTTGGTTGTGATTATGGGACAAATAATAAATGCCTCTTCAAACAACACCTTTTAAGACATAAAGTTTCAGAAGTTTTTAAATGTGCACATTGTGATTATGAGACCAATAATAAACGCCTCTTTAAACAACATCTTTTAAAACATAAAGTTTCCAAGGATTTTAAATGTGCTGATTGTGATTATGAGACGCATTATAAATCCGCTATTAAGGAACACCTTTTAAACCATAAAGGTTCTAAGGAATTTAATTGTGCTACTTGTGATTATGGAACAAACAATAACCGCATCTTCAAACAACATCTTTTAAAACATAAAATGTCTAAGGATTTTAAATGTGCACATTGTGATTATGGGACAAATTATAAATACGCACTTAAAATACACTACTTGAAACATAAAGTTTCCAAGGATTTTAAATGTGCTACTTGTGATTATGGTACAAATCTTAAACAAAACTTCGCACAACATCTTTTAACACATAAAGTTTCTAAGGATTTCAGATGTGCTACTTGTGATTATGGCACCAATTATAAACACCTCTTCAAACATCATCTTTTAAAACATAAAATTTCCAAGGATTTTCAATGTGTCGATTGTCATTACAAGACAAATGTTAAAAAGTACTTCAAACAACATCTTTTAAAACATAAGGCTTCCAAGGAATTCAAATGTGCCGATTGTGATTATGAGACGAATGTTAAAATGTACTTCAAACGACATCTTTTAAAACATAAAGTTTCCAAGGATTTTCAATGCGCTACTTGTGAGTATAGGACAAATAATAAGGACCACCTCAAACTACATATTTTAAAACATAAGGTTTCTAAAGAGTTTAAATGTGCCACTTGTGATTATGGCACAAATGTTAAACAAAACTTCATACAACATCTTTTAACACATAGAGTTTCAAAGGATTTTAAATGTGCTCATTGTGATTATGAGACAAATTATAAGTACGTTCTTAAAAAACACGTTGTAAGACATAGATTGTAAGGATTTTAAATGTGGTTATTGGACAAATGATAAACTTATCTTCAAACATCATTTAATGCATTTTTAAATTAATACGTCATTTAAGAAATAATCTCCCTCTGCAATTAGAAAGCATGCAGATGTTCCACAATAGTCAAATGGCATTTTACCGATGTACCTACGAGCCATCGCATAAATGGCAGTACTCGGCACCGATTGGCCACGGAACCGCAGACTAGTACCAAAACCAGTAGAACTTTCTTTGGCACGTTTTCAATTCATCTTCATGAAGTGATAAAATTAATTGAATTATAAGAGGAGGAATTAATTAATCATTTCAGCCAAGTTAGTAGAATTTACTAGCAGTTTACGTTATTAGAAAACTTAATTCCAATTACAAATAATTGACGACCGAACGGATATAGTTTCATAAAGGCTAAATTTTAATTACTTATAATTAATGTAATTTAGTCGGTCTTCGGACCACGCCCCCATTAATTAGACCAATAAGTTTTGTGACTTATAAACAAAAGCGATATTAAATTACGTATTCAATTCAATATAAATGAAAAGATATTACCTTATTCCTAAGATTACATTTCACGTCTTTTTTACTACGTTTAAGTTGCACCTTTATCAACGGGTATGCTTGACTACATACCTGCCGAACGCTTTATTTATCTGTTAATTATCCATTTCGTTAATTTATTATTTTCTGAAACTATAATAGATCGAGGGTTTTTTTTTGTTTATATAAATTACGAAAATTTATAGCATCGAAAATGTGTCAAATATATATCTTCCATTTATCCTAAGGGCTCCCAAATTTGTTTTGCACCCTGTAGGCGACTTTAGCGGACTATTCGAATTTAGCTGCCGTTTTTTCTTTAACGACTGGTCTATACCCCGTACCGCTCACCTGGACGTGATGTTCACTGTTCTAGAGCGCATCCGAGGCCATCGGTGCGACCGCTTTACTGCACCTACCTACGTACGCCACTGCTTAGGACCCGCCCGGTTAAAAGGTGGAGAAGTGATCGTCGTTTGAGTTGTAGCCGCGTACAGTTCGTTGACGTCTTACAGAAGCAAAGAGAGAGGAGAGATAATAATGATCGTAAAATGAAGCCTTGTAGACCCAAAAGATGGCCGTCTACAGTTGATTGGCGTAAGGTGAAAGCAGCAACCGTAGGTACATATCGTAAATACAAACTTATCGTCTGCACGACACCACAGATTTATGCATATGTTTTCTGTTCATTATAATATTATACAATAAGTACCTACAACGGATGGGGTACTGCACTGGTTAAGAAATGCAAACAGCTGATGGAATAAACAAACACTTTTGTCTCTAGATTTTTGCATACAGGATGCCCATTATGTATGGAGTAATGTATATATCGCGGCAAATATATCTATATGAAAGAGATTTTAACATTTTATTTCCCATAATAAGACAGCATTCAGTTGTTTTTATTTCAGAAAACAAATGAGTAATGAAAAACAATTAATTTTTTTAAATGGCAGTGCACCTTTTCATTAGGCTCATAAGATAGAGATTTCTTTTCTCTTTTCGATGATATATAATGTGAGTACCTATATTCAAGAACATTTTTCAAAAAAAAATTTTAATTAGATTAATAACATTAATCCAGATATCCTACGTCAAAATAAAACAAATGAACGTGTACGCTTCTTAACCTTGAAGACAAAACTAAATTTGCAGTACAATGGTTTTCATCGCAATGAAAGTTCAAAATGTTCACCATTAACTGTCAGGAAGTGGCATAATAACCTACCGCAAAAAGCTTGACATATAAAAATTGATTTCTTCAACACGGGTGCTGTGTTATGTTATTGAAAAGAGAAACAAAATCTCGATCAAATGAGCCTAATGAAAGTGTGCATTGCTATTAAAAAAAATTCAATTGTTTTTCGTTATTCATTTTGCAATTTGCAAGTTGCATTGCGAAAATGCGCAAAAGCCAATAATTGAATGCTGCCTGCTATTATGAGAAATAAAAATGTAAACAACTATTCATATAATAGAGACACAAAACCTACTCCCCATACTAATTTAATAGACAAATTATGAAAGCAGCGACTAGTTTCGACCAACGGTTATCTTCTGCCTTATGGATATTACAGAATAAAACTTTATAAAACATTTTAGAAGTACACAATGCAAAATTTGAAAGGCATCATGGGGAAAAACGATGACAATTAAACTATAACATTAAAAAATATCTTCATTGAATGTAATCTTAGTTACATAATTTAAAATTAAATGACTTAATATTAAATGAAATGTGGGGCGTAGGTGGAAGACGCCATCCTACTGTCATATAGACAAATTTTGTATTCAGTACCGAGATATATACACTATTCCATATATAATGTGCACCCTGTATATAAAAGGTTTTTTGTGCACCAAGAATATGGCCGCGACACGAAAATGTGCCTCAACGCGCAGCATTGCTCTTGGGGGCATTGATTATACAAACCAACTGTATAATCAATGGTATGACAATTAGCGTTAGTAGAGACACAGACAGCCAATTCCCACAAGAAGATGGTTGCTAGAGTTTCAATGTGTTTTATTGATTGAGATGTTTGAAAGATAGTCCATAGAAGGTCGAACCCGGCAAACGAAATCAACACAACAAGGTCTAAGGTGACTTCCACGGGTAACACAAAGTCAATAAAATAAACAAGTTATAACAATATTTCAGGTAGCTATGTACTTAGCTTGGTGTAACTTTTTTCAACAAATTCTTTAACTCGGGAAGTAAGTAGTGTCATGGTTGCCCTGGGATCTCGCTCTATATTGTTTAAATACCAAAAACAAATTTTTAACACATTTATTTATATTATTGTTGTTAGGTATGGATGAAGATAATAATACACTACACATTAAAATCGAACCAAAACAAGAAGAAGAAATTCATTCCTCTATTCATGGACACATTTCAGTACGCAACGAAGTTTTGGTGACAGTAAAGAACGAAATTACTATTAGTACACTGTGTTCTCAATCTCTGGATAATAAACAAGTGCAGCAAGATTCTGACTTTCAAGAAAGTCAACTTTTAACTCCGTGTAGAACAGTGTCTAAAGATTTTAAATGTGTCGAATGTGATTATGAGACAAATGTTAAAAGGTACTTTAAACAACACATTTTAACACATAAAGTTTTGAAAGATTTTAAGTGTGCTGATTGTGATTATGAGACAAATTATAAATACGGTCTTAAAAAACACCTTTTAAAACATAAAGTTTCTAAGGATTTTAAATGTGCCGTTTGTCATTATGAGACAAATGAAAAACGCCACTTCCAACATCATATTTTAATACATAAAGTTGCCAAGGATTTTAAATGCCCTACTTGCGATCATGGAACAAATAATAAATACCACTTCAAACGACACCTTTTAAAACATAAAGTTTCTAAAGATTTTAAATGTGCCACTTGTGATTATGGGACAAATAATAAACAGCATTTCAAGCGACATATTTTAAAACATAAAGTTTCTAAGGATATTAAATGTGCTCATTGTGATTATCAGACAAACCATAAATACGATCTTAAACAACATCTTTTAAAACATAAAGTTTCTAAAGATATTAAATGTGCTTCTTGTGATTATCAGACAAACTATAATTCCGATCTTAAAAAACACCTTTTAAAACATAAAGACTGTAAAGATTTTAAATGTGCTACTTGTGATTATGGGACAAATGTTAAACGAAATTTCATGCAACATCTTTTAACACATAAGGTTTTTAAAGATTTTAAATGTCCTGCTTGTGATTATGAGACAAATAATAAACACCGCTTGAAACAACACCTTTTAAAGCATAAAGCTATTAAGGATTTTAAATGTGCTGAATGTGATTATGAGACAAATATTAAAATATACTTCAAACGGCATCTTTTACAACATAAAGTATCCAAGGATTTTCAATGTGCTACTTGTGGTTATGAGACAAATGTTAAAAAGTACTTAAAACAACATCTTTTGACACATAAAGTTTCTAAAGATTTTAAATGTGCCGTCTGTGATTATGGCACAAATGTTAAAAGGCATTTGAAACGACATATTTTAACACATAAAGGATTTTAAATATGCCAATTGTGTTTATGAGAAAAATAATAGATTGAACTTTTTGCAACACCTTACATTAGGGGTTAACTGCAAATCACGGGTGCTCCTGAGCTTATCTCATTGAAAGGAACAAACCTAACGACTATGCTACATTAGAAAAACAGTTGAACGCCTTTGTTTTTCACTAGACGCATCAGGCAGTGGGCTTAGACTCGCTACTAATTAGTTAGGACAATTTGAATATTTATTTTATTTACAATTATTTAATTTATTAAAAATTGTTTCATTTTAAATAAATTTCACAAATGAAATCACCGACATCGCATCTTGCTGGATTTTGAGTGGGAATTTCGAGTCAATCGTGTGTAGTTTCGCCACGGCAATTACAATTCTTACATGAATGCCGGCGTTTTGCACGTTACTAATTCATATCTTATGCCATTGCGCGCCCCCTTTCAGTGATTGTATAATTTATAGAGCAGTGTATTCCCTCGCCGTTAAACCATATGCGCTATGGCGCCTCATCTTAAAAACATAATTCGATCCATACGCCACCTGGTAGCTGAACAAAGAACTACGAGTCGTACGATATTTATGTAGCCTAGACCGTATATGACAGTTATCATAACCAAATAATTACCGGTGGCGTGATGTAACTTAAATTCAGCAATTTCTGTTAGTAAGAAAGTAGTAATGTATGTCTGATTGCCCTGTGATTGTTTAATACCAAAACAGATTTTTTGCACATTTATTTAGAACAATATTGTTGTCAGGTATGGATGGAGATAGTGACACACTACTTATTAAAATCGAACCAAAACAAGAAGAAGAAATCCATTCCAATCTTCAGGGACATGTTTCAGTAAGCAACGAAGCGTTGGTGACAATAAAGGAGGAAATAATTACCATTAGTACACCATGTACTAAATCTCTGTATAATGAACAAGTACAGCAACAACTCTTAAC